ATGGATTTGTTTCTTACAAACACGCAGCTTTTAATTTCACAAGACGTTATTTGGTGGACTGGAGTGGTGTGGATTGTGATGTTTTCATCAGCTGTTTGGACTCTCATTCTGACGGCACCCATTCACTGCAGAGCATCCATTGGTGAACAAGTGATGGAATGCTACATTTCTCCAAATCTGATGAAGAAACAACCTCATCTACATCTTGGATGGCCTGAGGGGAGGACATCTGAAGCACATTTTCATTTGTGAGTGGACTATTCCTTTAACCATACACATTTTATAATTCATATCTTTAACAGACTATACTAATATTTCAGTCATCTTACAATATCATTAAAGATGCCCGGTCTCATGAGGTTGATCATTCTGGCGGTCTGATAGACGTCCACACTGTTCTCCTCCTCCAGCTGGTTAACCAGGGTGGTCAGTGAACAGAGTAAAGCAGCACTCGTCCCTCCAGACCTGCACAGACACAGTGAGGTGTGACACACTCCTCTATAGCAGTCACTGATAGAGCAATGCTATGAGACTCTACCCATCATGGATGATGGCGGGTCCCTCTCGACGCGAGCTCTCTTCTCTGATCATGTTGATGAGCTCAAAGCAGTTGCTGATGGGACTGTCAGGGTTCGGCCAGCGAGGGCTCTGGTACTGCCGTACCTCCAGCACATAGTCGTCCTGTCAAATACAGCCACGTTTCAGTTGCTCCACAGACTTGAATGCTTCAGTTTGAAATGCAATGTCCAGCACAAAGACAACTTTCAGAAATGTTAAATGTGAGAATCTTAAATGCTTTGTTTTGTTTTGTTTTTGGTGTGAATGTCACAAAAACAACAAAAATATATACTTTTGCATTAAAAATTGAAAGCCTATCTTAGTGTCACTAACAAGTTTTTTTTATTTATTTTTTTTACATTTAATTTACATATTAAATTACATTATACATTATTACACAATAATATTTAAATAATACTAATTATTATGACTTTATAATATTATAAAGAATAGTTTTTACTTAAGTCTTTTCTTTAATTTTTTAAGTGATTCTCATTAGCATTTCGATATTGTAATATAGTAAAATTTACAGTAATTAAACATTTCTATTTAAAATAAAGGCAGTGCAAATACTACTACTATTTATTTATTTAGTACCTTTTTACTGATTATTTTACATTTACATATTAAATTACATTATACAATAATATTATGATTTATACTTTTATAATATTATAAATTAAAAATATTGTAAACAATAATTATATAAATAATTTTATAAATTAATCTTTTAGAATATTATAAATTGTCATTTGTACTGTAATATGTCCATATGTTTTTACTTAAGTTCTTTCTTATATTTTCAATCATTCTTTTCATTAGATTCTCATTGCTGTAATATAGTAAAAACTACTGTACAAAAATATTTTTATTTAAAATAAAGGCAGCACAACAACTACTGCCATTTATTTATTTTCCTGTATTGAGTTGTAAAATAGGTTTAATTATAATAAAAATATAAATACATGATAAATTAATAAATAATATAAAGATTTATAATAAATAGTTCATTTATTTTTAATATTTAAAATTATTGATAAAAACAAGTTACATTTTATATTTTTATGATTTTGGCGGATGCTTTTATTCAAAGCAAAAGGTTACCATTTCTATTTGTATACAATATAGTTATATATAAATAGATATTATATATATTATATATTTATGATAAATAAATAAATATTATACAATTTATATTGCACACTCACCAGGCATAAGACAAGACGTCCTGTTTTTAGATGCGCTGCACTCCTTCAAAGCCACTGTGTAATCGCTCTGTTTCGCACAGCTCTGACTGACCAGCTACAGGAACAAAAGGAAAGATCAATGAATTGCTCAGCGTAATAATGATTAAGGTGGAATCACAAAAACAAAGGTCTCACCTTAAACTGTTTCTCCAGGCGGGTCTTTCCTGTAGGTCCCGGTGTGAGGAGATCAGACACATACGTGTGAATGTGACTGGATGAGACCAGAGTCGCTTTACTCCTGATGGCCTCCACTAGAGCATCATGGATGAAGATGTACTGCTCCTGCTCGCACACAAATATGATGGATGTTTTATGTTGCGTGTGACGTGACAACCTAAGGTATGTTTTGAAATAATATATGTTGGCAAACCTCAGTCTGCACCAGATAGTTCCTCTGGGTCCGAATGTGTTTGAGGAATCCCATGATGTTCACTGTACTTTTCTCCTTTATCTGCTTCAACATGCTGTCGATCACAATGTAGGTTCCTGTTCTTCCCACACCGGCACTAAAAATCACACATTCAAACATGTTAAAATGACATCTTGATGTATGTCGCCATTATAAATTCTTACTTCAATTAAAGTCAAGTGACCTTTATTTATATTTGTGCTGTATTTAATACTATTTCAGCAGTAAAACAGCTCTAAAAGAAGAATAGTGTCCTTATTCAACTTTGTTTGATTCAGTGTTAATTAAAATTAGTTAAATAACTAAAATTTACATCTTGCAATTCGGAATTCCGAGTTTCCATCCCGCAATTCGTACTTTTTTTTCTTGGAATTTTGAGATTACATGTCATGTTTTTAATTTTTTTTCTCGGAATTCTGAGTGTACATTTTTCTTGGAATTCTGAGTTTACATCTCGC